TTTTCACACCAGATAGTCCAGTAGACTCGGTTCGGTTGGGGACCGATATTCATGACATTTTGTTTACATTTGAGCTGGTGCGTTTGCATTCACACTGCACTGTGCAGTCGAGCCAACCTGTTCCCCCACTCACCTGCGGTGGCGCCGCACCAAGAATTACAGAAAGAAACGACACAAAAACCTCTGAAGAAGACACTTCTTCTTCTTCTGGAAATAAAAACAAAAATGGAGTGGCGTCAAATTTTAGAGGTTTTAGGAGTTCTGTTTTGTCATTTTTCAACAATGGACTCAGCATGAGTGGAAGATGAGGCAGAAGACCATGGAGAAAGTTGTTTTTCACACAAGGCAGCTGACGGCTCCATATAAGGTAAGAGAAATACGTGTTTGTTTGCCCTGCGTTGCAGTCCCCTTCCTGCTTGCGGAGCGGTGCCCAGTCTGCTTACATTCACACTGTACTCGAATCGCGCTCAAGTTTTCTTCTACCGGACCGAGACCTAGCATTTAGACCGGGCCAGAGTTGGCCTTTTTGTTCCGTGACAGAGTTCGATGGCGAGTTCACACCTCCCCAAACAAACCGGACTTCCTAGGCAAACGGGATAGAGTTCAGGACAACAGAGCTGGTGTGAATGCACCTTTAGTTGGCCTGGGAACGCCTTAGGCTTCCCCCAGAAGAGCTGGAAGAGGTGGCTGTGGAAAGATATCTGGGCCTCCCTGCACAAGCTGCTGCCCCCGCGACCCGACTTCGGAACAAGCAGAAGATAATGGATGGATAGACAGTTAGCAGCTTAACGCATGCTTATTTGTACCCCAGTTAATAACTGGTGCCTGTGCAGGGTCACGTTAGCTCAGCAGGAGGTCTTAAATTAAGGCTCAGAATGGACTGCTTTGACTACCAAACATCTGCTTGTTAAAATCTGGGAAGACATTTTTAGAGCACTTTGAGACTAGTCGGATCAATTTTTGGAGCTATCCGATTGCAAATGGATCTGAACAACAGATATGTCTGAACCGGACTTCAGTGAAAACATCTGTTTCTAATGACTGTCAATCAGCACCGCTACAGTTGCTATGGCTACTACAGCAGATCTTTTTCTGTTTTAAATCAGATCTTTAAAACAATTTTGAAATGTTACAAAACTGTGCTTAATGAAGAAAAGTAAAGCAATGAATCAAACGGATTGGACTCAATGGAACCGACTGCCCCCAGCCTAAAAAGAAGCTTTTATGGTCTTTAAAGCTCATTAAATAAGAAGTTGGGTGTGACTGAATCCATGTAATAATTAAATGTGACCATGTGGCTTCAAAAACACAAAAAGGAGTAGTCTGGTGGCTTGTTTTTTAAGTGAGGAACAAAATCTGTTTTACTGTAACGTTAAGCTCGTCTAAACGTGAAAAGGATCTGCAAAGGATAACATTCTACCTTGCATTCAAGAAAGTTCAAGACAAAAACAACTGGACTTTATTTGTAACAGACGTTTCGCTTCTCATTCAAGAAGCTTTCTCAATTCAAAGAACAGTGAGTGTAGGGTTCAAGTTATAAAGCTGAGGTAAGATATATACAGTACATATATATGCAGATTGACCTATCACACCTCACAGTTGTAGTTTGTTAATGTCTTTGTTAATCTAATTCACAGATGGGCCACGTTCTTCGATAGGTGTGAAACTGGCTGGGTATCAGTCCTAAAGCTGCATTATAAGTTTTAGAGAGTTGGAATCTGAGGCCTCCTTCTCTGTTTAGAGATGGTTTCTCTCTTTTTACATAAATTGCTTCCTTCACCCCTCTCTCACACCATCTGTCTTCTCGGTCCAAAATGTGCACATTTTGGTCCTCAAATGAGTGTCCCTTATCCGTGAGGTGGAGGTGAACAGCCGAGTCTTGTCCTGAGGAGGTGGCTCTCCTGTGTTGAGTCATGCATCTGTGAAGTAACTGTTTGGTTTCTCCAATATAGAGATCTGGACATTCCTCGTTGCACTGAACTGCATACACTCCTACTGTGAGGTGTGATATGTCAATCTGCATATGTATGTATATATCTTACCTCAGCTTTATATCTTGAACCCCATACTCCCTGTTCTTTGAATTGAGAAAGCTTCTCGGATGAGAAGTAAGTCGTCTTCTGTTACAAATAAAGTCCAGTTGTTTTTGTCATGAACTTTTTTGAATTGACCATGTCCTGGATGACTGAGAATCTTCACCAGCGTATTGTACGTTGCAGTTTTTAAAGAGTGATTCAGACCCAAAGAGGTCAGAATTTTTACTCGAAGTTTTCATATTTATGTAAAATGTGATGAATCAAGATTTTGTTGATAGCAAAATGATGTTTTTGGTTAAAACACAAAAGTTCAGTGCTTTCAAGATTCTTCACTGTCTGCTGTTATTTAGAGGTGATGACGGTTTCAAACGGTGGACGGAGGCCGTGTTGTACGTGAATAAACCATGGAGACATCTCACACCACAGCTTTACTGCTAAACCCAGAACATTCAAACACGTTTTCTGCATTAATCATTTAAGTATCCTGCCTTTAATTTTTAAATAGTGTTTTGTGAGCCTGAAATTAAATTAATCTTACTGTCCACCATATTGATGACCGACTTGAAATGGCCTTTCAAGGTGACGCATGTGGACAGCCTCGGGAAATAACGGCAATGAATATAGCAAATCATTTGAAGAGGTCAGAGCATGAACCAAAGGCTGTTATTGATTAAAACATCTCCTCCTCAGATGTTCTAGTCAATACCGCAATGTTCGCATTCTTTACTCGTATTGATGGTTCTTGCTGAAAAAGTAATCTTTGTTGGTTCTCCAGTAGTAGAACGGTTTATTCGGCATTGATTAGACGCGGCATGTGTGGCAACATGAGGAGGCTCTGCTGCGCTCAGCAGCTCCATACAGAAAGACACCAATATTAGGAATTATTGTTAATGCTCATGAAGCATTCACACTATTGTGATCTATTGTTCTTCCGTACGTTTTACAGGATAATCCTCGTTCCACAATTTTTGTGCTATTTCAACAAATCATGCATCAAAATTTTCAACTTTCAGAACACTCCTTTAGTATTGGTGCAACTTTAGCTATTTGAAATATTTAGCCTTTTCTGCCATGTTTTTCTCGTTGAGGGGAGTGGTGGCACAGAGGTTTGCGAAGGTGGGCCTGTGATCGGAAGATCGCCGGTTCAAGCCCCGGTACGACAACATAAAAAAAAAAAATGTGGGTGGGGTAGGTGAAGCACCCACACTTTCCCCCACCCTCATTCGTCCCACCCTGGGCTCATGAGCAAGGCCCTTAATCCCCATCTGCTCCCTAAACAGGTGTGACGTTATAAACAGTCATATTTTAGAATGTAAAAAAATAAAAACACAGCAACAGTCAGCTGCTCAAGATTTCTCTTTATTCAGCACAATCCTTCACCAAAACATCTGCGAGAGGAATTAAGGCTGTGAATAGACAGGATTGATATAAAACTCTGGCAGCAAAGAGGAATTAAGTTAGTTTGCTAAAAGTACAAAATATAAAATTCATCATACTTGAGAAAAATGTATACCTCACCGGATGCTGTGGATTTTTTTACAAGCTCGTTAGAACGCCTCAAAAAGGAGGAAGTCCTGAATGTTTGCTCTTTAAAAAGTCTTATAAATAACCAGTTTATATATGAACAAAGTAGTCTCACTTCACATTAAGTTTGGTTCAATTCCTCCCAGATATATATAATTCCTGTAGAAGAAAATTTATTCAAGAAAAATTCAAACATTTGTCAAGTGGTTGAAAGAAAAACTTGAGTTTTGACTCTGGAAATAATAATTTCCACCCCAGAGCAAACAAACGTATATACAGGAATTACTTCTTTGTTTTAATCTTTAAGATCCAGGTTTCTATTAAACAAAATAAATAAATAATCAAAGCAACTAATAAAGTATCCCATTTACATCTGAATGGCAGCCTTGGCTGTAATTCTGTCTTCCCTCAGATAAATACAATGTTAGCTGTAGTTCTACAGAAAACAGAATAAAGATTTTTTTAATATTTTTATTATTTCTGTTATTCAGGATTTCTGCTTTTTCCTTTCTGTTGAGATGAAAGATTCTGTAGTAGAGAATCTGAATTCTGGTTACAAAGCAGCAAAAAGAAGCAGGTGATTTATGATTAAAATATTATTTATATATATATATATATATATATATATATATATATATATATATATATGACTTCCTGGTTTATTCCAATTCTGACAATAGTGCAAACATGCCTCACCGTTTCACTCAGAAAGGCTTTGCAGCTGTGTTGCTGTACTCCCACGTTACTTTGTAACCTGCTGAGCTGCTTGTGGATCTGGTATGAAATTTTTAGCATTTTCTTGTGAGCGTGCTGCAGGAAGAAGGGCCATAAATAAGGGGAGCACCGATGCTGACCCTTCGGCGAACCGCCATCATCTGCCTCGAGGCTCCTGCTGGTAAACTGGAGCAACAATAACCGGCCTGATCACCGAGTCCTGTCCCCAGGAATTACCCCACCAGCACCAAGAATGCTCCAAAACACATTTACAGTCCTTCAACCAAACCTAATCATTTCAGTCTGCTTTAACAAATTTCCCAGGAGGATTAGCAATCGAACAACGAGGACATTTTTACGGCTGAAGGCCATTTGCTGTTTATCATGTTCTCTGTCATTACCGCTGCAATAAAATCTGTCTTTATCCGTCTAATGAAAAGAGGAAGTGCTGACACAGTGGGAGTCCAGATAAATTAAAAAAAGAGGAAACGGAGGCAAAGAAATTCCCAAATTTTAGATAAAAATCCCATCTTGTTTATACAGATGATCTTCTCCCAATGTTCTCGATCACTAACACTCACACATCAGCATTTTCACAATGACTTTAAAGACCATCAACAAAAATCCAAAAACAGCTCATCTAAAAGTCCCAGTGCAATTCAGGAGTCCCTCTTCAGTCCACTGCGTTTTGTTCCTCGGTTTTATCCGTTTGACCGAGTTCTGCCAATAAACGACGGTCCAGTCGATCGTCACAAAGTCAGTGAAGTTTTGTGCCGTTACATCTGGTTCAATCAAGTCCAGCTTGGTCTACCAAAATCCAGAGTTCTCCAGGTGGGTTTCCTGGTCAGGACCTGGACTATAGAAGCTCCACGTAGTTTTCTGGAATCAGCCCTGTTCGACCACCCAGAGTCCCTTCTAACCAGCCAGGTTCCTTCGAAGCATGAACTACAGCAAAAAGAATCGAACACTGATTAGACAGAATATTTTTTTAAAAATCGAAAAATGTTCATACATATGACAAAATACTAAGATGTGCAAATAAACAAAGGAGAAATAAATCACATTGTTTCAAGTTCCTAAATATTTTGAGAAGTCTTCTTGAGGGCAGAGGACAAGTTACTCTGAGATAGGCCTGTCACGATAAGACATTTTGCTGGGCGATTAATTGTCTCAGAAATTATTGCGATAAACGATAATATTGTTTGAAATTTGACAATAATCAGTACTTGTCAAATTTAAGAAGAAATGCTTAATTTTGTGTGTAGTACCTGATTTGACCACTGGATGGCAGTATAAAATGGTTTGAACCAAAGGATGGATAGTGAGGGAGCGAGCAGCATGTCTCTAAGAAAAATTGGAGGGAGGCCCCTTGACGTGACATGGGCTGTCTCTCGTTCCCGTTTTTCGGTTCTCAAAATGGTGGACGCTCGGTGTGGTTGGAGCTCTTTAGCATAGCTAGTATAGCTAGGTATAGCATAGCATTGAGCATGTATCAGGATCTTTAGCATAGCATTTGTCACACAAAGCTTTTAATTAAAAACATCAGTAAACAACTTCTCAGCTACTTTTTGCAGAGAAAAACAACTTTTTAGACGAAGACACAGGTTTCAACCGTGAATTTTGGAGCTTCGACTAGACAGTTTTTTTCCCCCAATGTCGGCCTGTTAGCTTAGCTTGTAGCTTAGCTTCTCAGCTTAGCTGCTTCTAACAATCCAAAAACGCGATTTTGGACGGTTAAAACGGGTTTTAAAGAAAAGCGAAAGGGAGGGGTCAGTGAAGAGCTTTGGAGTGGAGCCTTTTGTCATCCAGTGTCTTCAGTAGAAAGAGAGAGACACGAAGAAGCGATAAAGCCGATAAATGAAAATGAGGGTGATCATTTTCATTTATCATGCGATTAACTGATTTATTGTTTATTGTGACAGGCCTACACTGAGAGAGATAAAAGCTTCTCAAACTGTGTTAATTTATGAAAGTACAACAGCAAAAGTCATAAATACGATAGAGACTTTAAAAAAAACAAAAAAACAAACAAACGTAAGACCTGGAAAGTATTGCTGCTGCCAACACAAGCAAGCAAACAAAGCTGATAATCAGCATGAGCTGAAATTAAAAGGTTAGAAACTACAAATAAAAACTGGACGTAGATTAGTCTGAAAAAAATGTGGAAGAGTCCTGAAACTTTCAGATCCAGCAGAAGAGGACTGGTTAAAAATGTGTGGACAGTTTCTGAATGAATAGACTAGAGTGCTACCATACTTTTCAGACTAGAAGTAACATATTTTTGCATAAATGAGCAAGTCCTGCAACTTATAGTCTGAAGCAACTAATATATGTCCCCCCGTATTTATAATCCAATTTTTGGCTGAGATCTGACGATTTCCTTCATTCGGACAAGGAAAATATTGAACACTACCATTTTCAGCCACTAGAGGGCCCTCGAGTAATACAGCAATCCAATTTTCTCATTAATAGGTAAAAGTGGCTATTAATGAGACACTTGGCTTGCCATAAAGGCCACCATTGTCTCGCTCCAAAATTCCTGGAGCAAACGTCAAATCTGCTGATATGACAATTAAAGTGCATTTATGAAGGAAAAGTTCACCTGAGACACAACTTTGCTATAATGTAGAGCAAACAATTGTTTTTGTGTTAATCTTGTTAAATTATTGTTAAAGTCCTCCCGTGCACGCTCCAGTGGCTGCCATTTGGCAGCCAATCAATTTCTGGCACAACACCGGCCCACATTTCCAGGTTGTCAGCAGTGACGCATAATAGATGCGACTTATACGGCGAAGCGACATATTTATGTGTTTTTCCCACTTTATTAGACATAATTGAACTGATGCGACTTATATGGCGGTGCGACTTTTAAGGCGGAGAGTACGGTACTTGTCCTGAAACCTTTTTTAAAAAACATTTTACTGTCAGCGTCTTCCAGCAACACTTTGGATAAATTGGAAAATAGCTGAAGAACATTTGAGTTCAAACAGTTTGTCCTCCCTTGAAGTCCAATTTAGAACGATCACTACAAAATCTATACGTCAATGAAACAAAATGAAAGTGATCTCGACATGCGTTTGTGCACTGGGTCATTTTTTTTTATATTCATTTGTTCGACTGAAACTAGTTTATTTAAAAGATTAATCAAAATTGCAATCCCTGGTATAAAGCAATCATTACATCGAAGCATACCATTTTTTTTTACAATTCTTAACAAAAGCATGAGATTGTAGTGGGAGTTTTCTGAGGACAGATTAAATTTGACATCCTTGGCTGCTGATGAAAGACTCCAGTGTTCAAATACCACCCTGAGGATTATATGTCCCCAGGCTCATATTTTGACCCAAGTAGCTCACATGATACTGCTCCTCCTTACATAACTACCCTTAGTTTTTAGGCAGCTGACTATTCAGAATCATTTGTGAACAGCTGTGAACAAGGAAATCTTCCTTACTGTTAATTATTATGCCATCAGAGAAGGAAGACATACAAAAATCATTACCAAGCAAAAAATGATATGTATCAACTATCATTGTGAGTTAACCTAATCACAGCTTTGGTGCAGTTTACTGTAAAGGTTAAATATGGACATGTTCAGCCTTCGTTAAAGTAGCCCAGGCAAAGCAAACATGTGATTTTGAAGTTTACTGTGAAGTAGCGATGAGAAGGTACGGCAGCTCGATGGTCAAATATCGCAGCCTTGTAGTTGTGAGGCTGCAGGTTAGAGCTCAGGCTGTATTAAGAAAAGCATGCGGCTTAGAACAGTTGTCAAACCTTTCATGCGAGTGTGCTTGCTGTGATGAGAGGAGCAGCCGGAAGGAGAGTAATGTGAAGAAGCTATCGCATGCCGAGCCTACAATGACGTCAGCAAACCAGATAAATGACCACAATTTGTTTTAGCTTCTGGAGAGGTCATTTCTCTTATTGTCCCCCGTCACGAAGCAAAAAGGGGGAAGTGAAAATTCTGTCAGTCTGTTCGTGAATGTGAGGGCATTGACTTGAAAATTAAGTAAAGGGACAACTTCCTTTTTGGTTTGTGGCTGCATCTAGGCATAAAGGAAACGGTTCAACCGAAAACTGGGTTGCAATTTCAAAATCCAAGATGGCCGCTGTCACATATATGCAAACCTTGTGAGCTGGATAATTTGAAAAAATAAGCAACAGGCCAACATCCTTTTTGGTGTGAGGCTGCCTCTTGGCGTAAGAAAGTTTACGTTCGAAAATTGAGTTGCCACGTCCAAAATCCAAAATGGCTGCCACCATCATTTGAGGAATCCATGCTTTCTAGTTTTTATGTTGCTTAAAAGTATAGTTTCCTCAAATTATTAGGTTGGCCAATGGGGTGGCTGAAGATTAATCCATGAAGGCCAAGGCCGCCATTGACCACCCTGTGGCCCCACCATTGCACCAGGAGGTGGATAAAATTGCTCCATCCACTCGTCAGGATCTGTCACTCTGCACCACCTGGGGTGAGAAAAATAAACTACCTCTGCTCTTGTACACAGTATAACAACTACCCACTTGAATATCTTGCACCAAAAACATTAAAGATTACTTGCAGTCACTGTTCAATTCCAGTCAAGAAAAACATTCATCAAACATTCAGTATAGAAATCCTTCATACCATACCATACCATACCATACCAATTTATTTATAGAGCACTTAAAACAGCAACAAGGCCAACCAAAGTGCTGTACAAAAGAACACAAACATGCACAGCAGACAGGAAAACATAAAATAGAAATACAGATACAAATAGCAGCAGAAGCTAACTAAAATGGCCAACAGAGTAGAGAACAGACCGGGCCAAAACAAATCACACCGTGTTAAAGGCAAGAGAATAGAAGTGGGTCTTCAAGCGAGACTTAAAGACTGAGAGTGTGGGAGCCTGCCGGACACTCATTGGCAACTCATTCCACAGTCGTGGACCTGCAACAGAGAAAGCCCTGTCACCCCTGAGCTTACGACGGGTTTCTGGGACTGAGAGAAGCATCTGGTCTGCTGACCTCAGAGAGCGCGGTGGGACATATTGCTGCAGATCAGTGAGATAGGATGGGGCGGAACTGTTCAGTGATTTAAAAACATATATGAGAATTTTGAAATGGATCCAAAGGTGAATGGGTAGCCAGTGCAGGGAGGACAAAACTGGCGTGATGTGCTCTCTATAGCCTATACCAGTTAAAAATCGGGCTGCAGCATTTTGGACCAGTTGTAGACGAGCAATGGAGGACTGACTGATTCCAAGCAGAAGTGAATTGCAGTAATCAAGCCTAGATGTTATGAAGGCGTGGATCACTGTCTCAAGGTTCTTTTTGGAGAGTATAGGCTTCAGCTTAGACAGCCGTCTCAGCTGAAAAAAACAGGATTTTACCATCATGTTTACGTGACTGTAGAGTTTTAAGGACGGGTCCATTATCACCCCCAGATTAGTGATCTTTTGTTTCTCTAGCGGGGCTAGAGAGAAAAGGTCAATGTCATGGTTCATGAGTGAGCCACTGGGATGGAACAGCATGACTTCAGACTTCTTCTCATTGAAGCTTAAGAAGTTTAAAGCCATCCAGTCCCGGATGTCAGCCAGGCAGTCAAGAAGAGGCTGAATAGAGCGTGTGCCTCTGTGCCTCAGGGGGAAATTTGGCAATCATCGGCGTAGAAATGAAAGGGTATGTCGTGTTTGCGGAAGATAGCACCTAGTGGCAGCAGGTATAAAGAAAAGAGAAGGGGACCGAGGATGGACCCCTGCGGTACCCCCCACTGGAGCGCTGTCGATGCCGAACTAGAATCTTTGATATTGACACAGAAGGTTCTGTCAGATAGGTAGGACCCAAACCATTTAAGGGCTGACCCTGTGATGCCCACCCACTGCTCCAGTCTAGAAATGAGGATGTTGTGGTCGATGGTGTCAAAAGCAGATGTAAGGTCCAATAGGACCAACAGCACAGAATCACCTGCGTCTGTGGAAATGAAAATGTCGTTAAAAACCTTCAGTAGAGCAGTTTCAGTGCTATGGAGAGATTTGAAGCCAGATTGGAATAACTCTAGGATAGCGTGATCCCCCAAAAACTGTTTCAACTGAGACTCCACAATTTTTTCCAGTAGTTTAGAGGTGAATGGGAGTCTGGAGACAGGCCGGAAGTTGGACATGACTGAGGGGTCAAGGTTAGGTTTTTTCTGGAGGGGCTGGACAGCAGCATGTTTAAAAGTCTTTGGCACCTGCAGTTCATGGACAGGGGTCATTGCCGTACAGCTCATTTATTCAAAAACTGCTTCAGCTTAGGTTTTAGGATTTTTAATTACATGCAAGAGTATTTTGTTTTTGGATTACCTTATGACATTTTAGGTACAAATTCTTCAGGAGTTCGCTTGCTTATTTGCAGCCACATAACTCGCCAAGCCAAACGTTGGCATCAACCAAACGACATTTCTATGTGTTGGTGCAGTTTGCCAACATTTAAATAACTGATTTTGTATGAAGTTAGAAGGGAAAGGCTTATATTTGCAGAACGTAAAATACAGTCAGGACGAAACAGTTCGTTTCTGGTTGCAGCACGCGCTTGCCAACGAAGTACTACCTCCTGAGTGCTGGTGGTACTTGGGTCTCAGGCAACAGAAATATTGCTCTCTGCTGCAATGTTGCCTTCACAAAAAGAAGACGGGAAATGTACAAATCCTCCTCTCTTCCAGTGACGAGTGTCTGACATCGTTGTGTCTACAGTCAAAACGTGTGTAAACTGCTATTGTTGCCGTTTTACATTCAGAATTCAAAGCTTTACGATTTTAGAACATTAAACTTAACCCAAAGATACTATTTTCATGTTTTAATTGAAATGATTGCACTGCACCCTGATGATAACAGCTGCAGAACTTGATAGGCATGTTTACATCAGCACAACATAACTTTGTTCATTTGATGCTGAGAAAGAGCAAATAGTTGCAAACAATGAGCAAAAAACAGACACGTTGCATGAACTTAGTGAATCTTATTGTCTGCGTGCTCCTTACAATTTAGACACAATTAAATATGTTATAAATGTGTTTTTCTGAAGAATAGTTGTACGCATCCTCCATTTCTTTTAAGTGACTGACTTCCATAAATGTTAATACGTTTTTTTTTTCTTTACTACAACAGAGATTTCCTGCACCAAGTAAATTCAGATTTCCATGGTTGACTGTGTTTTACAACAAAATGATTCTTTACTCCGAGCCACATCCTGGCCTCCTCCCTTACTACTGGCAGCACCAGACACTGACTCACCGTTCTCAAAGATGGTCCCAGCGATGAAGGACAGCTCGGAGTCGTGCTCAGCCTTGCAGGCGTACAGAGCCCGGGCCTTCCTGCCTGTGATGCTGGAAGCAATGAGAGAGTGAGACAGGAAGTCTGCAGCTCACCGCTCCACAAGGCAAACAAACTAAACCGGCTTGTTTGGAAGAATATCTAGACACAAATTCACACAAACAAGCAGTTTCTTTGTCTGAGTAAGTCTGACTTTAGCTGAAACACATGATCATTTGAGGCTGTTATGAGTTTCTTTTCTTATTCTTTGTTTTCTCCAATTGCATGTACAGTAGTCCCTCGCTACTTTGCGGTTCGTTTAACGCGGACTCATTCCATCGCGATCTTTCAAAATAAGATTGGACATGACACACAATCGGCATGAAATTTGTATTTAAAATAAATTATTTTTAATTATTTTGCACCTGCTGCACCTTTGTGCAGCCCTTACTGCAGGATAAACTTTCTGCTGCAGCTGATCAGCTGTTCACCATGCAGCGCAGAGAAGTGGGCGTGGCCAAGAGCGCTTGCAGGTGGCAAAGAGCAGAGGAAGCAGGGAGCTGAAATCATGACATTCTGTGCTCTTTTAGAGCATTTAGAAACATTGTTTAGAATATTGCAAGAGTGTGGGAAGTGTTTAAAATGTATACTAAAATAAACTCCTACTTATTACTTGTATTACTACTCCTACTTCACGGTTTTTCACCTATCGCGGGTCTTCAGGGTACGGATCCCCTGCGATAAACGAGGGACTATTGTAATGATTATTTCACCAACTAAGATGTGATGTAATGCGAATTTGCTCTAAAATAATGTCTAGAAGGCAGCACATGTCTTAATAGGCAAGCCTGACACCTTATACATTTGTGTACTTTATTAAGTACATAAATCCCATGAGTACATAAATGTCATAAATCCCTGACCAGGACAATCACTGTAAAAAAAATAAAAAAAACACTAATGCCACTAATTGGTGATATGTGACTTATCTGTGCTGCTGATTATCCATGCTGCTGATCTCCTGCTGCTGATTATCTCATGCTGCTGTATTCATTTATACCATCTGCTCACCCAGACTCATGTTAGGTATTCGTTTGCATTATTAGTGTTTAGCGTATATCTTAGATCCTTACATACTGTTTTTTTATACTTTATATTTTTGCTATTTTTGGGTGTAACTGGGACCCTGAGTACATAATTTTGTTCCACTTCATGTACCACATGATGGAAATGACAATAAACGACTTGAACTTGAACTACAGTACGTAGGCTTTTAAATGATTGAAAGCAGTCTGATTGCTGGTACCAGGACATCTGAATGTTGAAATCCAAAGCACTGAAATGTGACCAACGCTGTGCGTCTACCAAGGTTCAGCTGAATAACTGCACCCAATCACTGCATGTCTACAAGAATTTAAAAGAAGTCTTTGCTAGACTGACTGTTGCCTGACCTGTGTATAAATAGTTTAGGACACACTGAATCCTACAGTGATTCTGAGGCACAATTTAGCTTTTAAATTCTCTCGTAGAAAGATTTAATGGCCACAAGATGATCTCTTCTTAAAACTTGCGGGGTGGAAGAATCTAGCTTTATTATTCTTTATGAAAAAACTTGAATGACTTCAGCTTCAGAAATGGAGCTTATTGTAAACAGTTGAACGGTACCACTTCCATTATTTGTCTTTCCTCCTTTATGACATCACAAACAGCTCGCTGTTTCCCACACAGCTACTAACTCCGAGACGTGTTGGCTTCGAAATGCTTCAAAGAACAATGTGGACCAACCTGCCAGGAGACGAGTCGCTGGAGGCGGAGGAGATCGGCTGCGGACTGGACGGGGCTGAGAACATCGGCCAGGAGGGAGAACGTGGCGACGTGGGGCTGGGAGATGTCGCACTGATACACACGAAACAAAACACCACTCTGTTTTTATCTTGAAGAGGTCTGGACACTTGTCATGTAGGTGTGGCTTTAGGACGTTTGTCTTACCTGGCTGGTATGCTGACACGAGGTTTTGGGTTCAGTCTGAAAAAGACAAAGGGAAAAAAGTGTGATTTATGATAACTCTTGAGTCAGGTCCTCTGAACGGGTTCTTTGTTGAAATGTATAACTTTTATCCAAAAAAACAGTCTGAGGAGCAAACAGTCTTTTAGGCAGCACCTCCTCTTAGTGGATCAACCAGTTTGTTGGTGACAAACAAAACTGGTTGCTCACATGCAAAGGGAGGGCCATCAGACTAATGACCGATCTTAGCATCCTGGTGGCCGCTTGCTATTCAGAGGGTTGAGTAAAACAATAACAGCATTGTAACAGGGTGACAGCCTCCGCCCCATTTAACTGATTTATGATTTATTCATTTATTTAGGATTATTCGTTTTAAACAAAGGTGTCAAAGCGGTTCCCCTTTTAATCCTCAACGTTTAGAGTGTCCCTTGTTTGCTTCTTCTGTCAGAGTGGATCCTATTTTTTTTAAATAAAACCCTCAACGTTTATCTTCAAAAATAGTGACAGCATCAGTTCTCGGTTGATATAATTCCTATTAAACTACAATTTTTGTTTTTACATTCACAAGGTTCATGCAATTTTTAGATCCGAGTAAAACGTCAGTAATGTTCCCCAAACAAAAACAGATTTAGATGGAGCAATAATAGACGCACTACTTTTGTTTTTCATTCATTTACAGTTTAAAATAAATATGTCACATGTTAACAGAAACAAAAGTTCTGAATGAAAAGGAGTAATTTGAAGAAAAAAAATCGTACATAGTCTACTAGGCCTGTCGCAATAAACAATAAATCAATTAAGCGTATGATAAATGAAAATTATCGACCTCATTTTCATTTATCGGCTTTATCGTTTCTTCATGTCTCTTTCTACTGAAGACACTGGATGACAAAAGACTCAACTCCGGTTCTCTTCACTGACCTCTCCCTTTCTTTTATATCTTTAAAATCCACTTTAACTGTCCAAAAATCACGTTTTTGAGCTTTAAAAGAAGCTAAGCTACGAGCTAAGCTAATAGGCCGACCTCAGGGGGAAAAAAATCTCTGTCTTGTTGAAGCTCCAAAATTCACGGTTGAAACCCGTGCCTTCATGTAGAAAGTTGTTTTTTTCTGCAAAAAGAAGCTGAGAACTTGTTTAATGTTTTTTTTTTATTTTTTATTAAAAGCTTTGTGTGAAAAATGCTATGCTAAAGAGCTCAAACCACACCAAGCGTCCGCCATTTTGAGAACCGAAGAGACACAACCCATGTCATGTCAAGGGGCCTCCCTCCCTTTTTTCTTAAAGAGACACGCTGCTCGCTCCCTCACTATCCTTCCTTTGGTTCAATCAGTCTTATACTGCCATCCGGTGGTTGTAAAAAGGTACTAAACGCAAAACAAATTAACAAACGTTTCTTCTTAAATTTGACAATAATTGCTAATTATTATCAAATTTCAAATAATATTATCGTTTATCACAATAATTTCTGAGACAATAAATCACCCAGCAAAATTTGTTATAGTGACAGACCTATAGTCTACCCCTTGTCCCAAAAGTCAATCTACTACACCACAAGCAACCAAGCATCAATCAACCATCCATACAAACAGGTCTTTGAACACAAAACAGGCAATGTGTACATATAAAGAAAAAAAAAATCATCTTTGTTATGATACAGCACTCTGAATCAATATACTTCATTGTACCTTGAAAGAAAACAATATTTTATTATTTTCTTAAAAGTAAAAATAGATCTACTCTCTTTGGTTTCTTTAGACAGACTGTTCCACAGACAGCGTTCCATTTTTTTTAGTTTTGACTTTGGGTTTCTTAAAAATCTCTGATCCTTTCAAATTATGAATGCTGTCTCTTTTAATAAATCTTTTTCACAAATGCATTGGTAACATACTGTTAAGTATTTTAAGCATAACTTACAGAATATAATAGTCCACCAAGTCGTGAAATTTCATCAATTGTAAGTTACAGAACAATGGATTTGTTGGATCTCTGTAGTGTTTTCCACTTTTAATTCTAACAGCTCTTTTTTGCAAAATAAAAACAGAATTTGTATACAATTTACAGGCATTCCCCCAAACTGCTACACAATAGGTCAAATAGGGAACGATCAGTGAATTATACAATAACAACAATGCTTATTCATTTAGTGTCTTACACTCTTCTAAAAAATCACTAAGCCAAATTTTATAATTGTAAATAAGCATCAGAAGGACAATAAAGAGTTTCAGCTGCTGTACATAAAAGGTAAATAACATTGTTGATGCATTTTTTTTTTTTTTTTACAAAGTTACTATGTAAAAAAAAAAAAAAAATATACATATATTTGACAAATGTCTGTTTGATTCTGGTACCTGCTACATTTTTTTAGCCGGGCAAATACAAAGTACACATGCAACATCAAATCAATAAGGCTAACAGACAGCTTTCACATTAAGAGCTGATTGATTCTGCCTTTGTAGCTACACAGACTGTCCCACAGTTGTTGAGACTTCAGACAAGACTGTCTCTACAGTAATCCAATTTCCAAATGGTCCGTCACCATGGTGCTGCAAAATATAATTTATTCCTCCATCTGAGCAAGCTGTGCGTCTTCATCAGTCCATTTGTCATTCAGTCCATTTAATCTGGTGCTGCTGCTTGCTGGTCAACTCCAACTGCAGAACAGCTCAGGTTTAAGATGAGTCCAGATTTAGTAACATGCTTTGAGGTCATATGTTTTAGTATTTAACTTACACATGACTTCTTAAAGGCCATCAATTTAAATGTTGGTCATAAACAGAAAGCAGAGGAAGACGCATCAACAGGTTTACATTAATCATTCAGAACTGACATCTGCAGCCAGACGTTGTTCATCTTGCTTGATTGAAAGAAGATTTTATTGTTTGTGGGTGAAAGCCTCAAAATGAAACGCATTTTTCGTGTGTGGTGTCTTTTAACAGAGGACTTCCATTACTACCCTGAACTGCAAAGATAATTTGCTTCTATAGTCCAAAAGCTTCTAAAATTGTTTCTGTAGTGTTTTTATTTTTTTATGACAATTTGTCAGAGGCTTGGGATCGAAGATGTGAATTAAACAAGGTTTCCATCAGTGAATGGTTTGAACTGGTCAGATGGTTTTCTTTTATATAAACTCCCTTATACACCAATGTATAGCAATATTAAACAGCAATATATAACAATACTATGCAGCAATTTAAAGCAATATTATACATACAATATTATACAATAGGGTTTGGATAGAGTTGGGGTGGAGGGGAAACTGGCACCATGCCAGCCTTTGCTCCTTCTTCTTTCCTTTTTAATGGCACTATACAACAACACACATCAACAGCACATCTAGGGGTGGGGGTGTATGTGTCGGGGTCTTATTTTTAGTTATTTATTTATTTATTTATTTTTTTTTTTTTTTTTTCTCCTCTTCCTACCCACCTAGTTCCCTGACTGCCATTCCGGGGGTGGGGTCCGGGAGAAGGGCAGGCCGTCGGGTGTTGACCAGGACTATGTGGGGGTTCAGGGTCTGGGGGTTGCCATGGGCGGTGCTGGCGCTGTGCTCTCCCTGGGGTTGTTTGGACCCCCTGAGCTTGGCTCTTGGGTGCCATGGTTGGCCCGCTGGCCAGGGTGGCTGCCGGGGCCTGGCGGGCGGTCGGCTGGGGGTGCGTGCTTGGTTGTTGGCAGTGTGTGGGGGTGGTCGGTGGCGTGTCCTCTTCATGGTGGGGGGGTATCCTGTCGGCGGGGCATGGCCTGGGCCGGGTCTGGGGTATTGGCTCTTCTCCACTCAAGAATGAATGGGTTTACCTCCTGGGTTTGGGCATGGGCTGCCCCCCTGTAGAGGGCGGGTACATGTCTTGGACCTGGGGGGTATAGAGTGTGTATCGGGAATAAGAATGAAATGTATCGTTATTGTATGTCTTTGAGTGAATGAATGTGAGATTGAGGTTGGGATAGTGTGATTGTGTATGTGTATGAATGGGTATTTGTTAGGCTGAGACTCGGACTGCCCCCTCTTTGATACAACTGGGGGTGCTTGGCATCGCGCCCCTATCGCGCGGCCCCCTGGTGGGGTGTGCCCTTGCCTGCCGGCGCGCTTGGGGCCCTTGGTATCGGGGGCTGGGCGCTTGGGCGTGTGTCGGCTCGGCCTGGTGTCTGCCTGGTGGGGCTCGGGTCCTCTGGCCCTGTCGGGCCTTGGCCTGGGTGGTGTGAGTCCTCGGTGCCCGGGCCTCGGTGCCTGGACCTGGACCTACATCGGTGTGGCGGGTGCCGACGGAGGCCTATGAGTTTGTCGCTGTTGGCCCCGGGGGGTCACTGTATGTGGTTGCTGGTGGGGATCTTCCGGTTCTCCCCTGTGGTCCCTTCTGGGGGGTGGGTGGGTGGTTCGCCCTGTGTGGGTGGCTCTGGGGGCTCCGCGGTCGGGGTCCCTCCTGGGGTCTTGGGCTCTGGTCCCCACTTTTTCGTCTGCCTCTGGTCTTGGGGGTCGGGTCTCTGCTGCTTCACAATTACTAATAAATGTTCTATTAGAGAAGCCTTATACACTTATGCATGCTCACAACCACACACAAATAGAAGCAGGGATGTTTATGTAGGCTTTATATGTAGATATATAGATATGTATGTGAGTGTATATTCATGTGTATGTATGTATGTATGTATGTATATAGGCGTAGGTATGGGTATATATATTTATTGAAACTTACTGCAAAGCCATGAATATTTTAAGTTCTTTATACATATGTATTTTGTTGCTGTGTTTTGTCATGTTCTTTGCAGGTGAACAGACAGTGGCCGGGTGTTTTGAAGTGTGCTCTATTTGTATATATTTCTTATATTTTGGAGTCTTACTTTGTCTTTTCTTTCTTTCTATCCTATTAAAAAAAAAAAAAAAAAA